GGGGGTCAGGTAGCTATTGATTTCAGCGTGTATTCTCCTGTATATTTATTTGTCGACAGGAAAGCTTGTATTCTTTGATCTTTTCTACAGTATATGGTCAATAGATTAATTAATCAGTTACATGTCAAGAAAACGTGGTTTTGTGTATCGGTTTGTATTTCATTCTATTTGTTTTTGTATTCGTGTGTGTTTGTGTATTCGTGTGTGTTTGTGTATTTGTGTATTCGTGTGTATTCGTGTGTATGTGCATTCGTGTGTTAGTGTATTCGTGTGTTTGTGTATTCGTGTGTTAGTGTATTCGTGTGTTTGTGTATTCGTGTGTTAGTGTATTCGTGTGTTTGTGTATTCGCTGAATAACCCGGGCGTGTGTGAAGCTTCTGTTCCCCGACAATTGGTCCTATACAACTACTATTGTTCCTTTTACTTTCTCAGAGGTAGTTCTTTGATCAGAGGTTTGATCTTGGGGGGGGGGGGTTTCAAGGATTAATTGTAGATTTTGCAACACGTTTAGGTCACAGTTGAGCATTTCACTTGAATAAAAAAAGTTGAAAACAGAGACAAGTAGAGTAGTAAAAGTCACCCCTTCCACCCCCCCCCTCCCCACTTCTCCGAGTTTATCAATCATTTTCTAAATGACATCAGAGCTACCCTTCTCCCTCCGAGACCTAACATAGACAACACACTCTACGGAACATTACAGCAACTGCAGCAAACCTGCACTTACCACTACATGGCATTGGACAGAAGGGCGAGAGCCCAGCTGTTGCTGGATCGATAACAACAACAACAACATCAATCATTTTACCTTTCCTGTCGTCATCCTTAGACTCGCTGCTGTCATCGCTGTCATCGTCATAACTGTCATCATCTCTGTCATCTTTGCTGTGGGCCACATCGTCACTTTCATCGCTCTCCTCACTCTCCTCATACCCTCCGTAGTAACCTCCGCCTCTCACTTCTTCTTCTTCTTCCTTCTGTCCTTCCAAATGTCCATGTTCCTCCTCCTGTTCCTCCAGATATCCCGCCATTTGTTCTTCTCTCACTCCAGACTCACCCTGCTCCTCGGAGCTTCCGCTGTGCTGTTGGTAGCTGTTTTGTTGCTGTTGGTAGCCACTGCCTTGTTGAGTGTAGCCATTTTCCTGTTGTTGAGTGTAGCCATTTCCCTGTTGTTGAGTGTAGCCATTTTCCTGTTGTTGAGTGTAGCCATTTCCCTGTAGTTGAGTGTAGCCATTTTCCTGTTGTTGAGTGTAGCCATTTTCCTGTTGTTGGGTGTAGCCATTTTCCTGTTGTGGAGTGTAGCCATTTTCCTGTTGTGGAGTGTAGCCATTTCCCTGTTGCTGAGTGTAGCCATTTCCTTGTTGCTGAGTGTAGCCACTGTTTTGTTGAGTGTAGCCATTTTCCTGTTGTTGAGTGTAGCCATTTCCTTGTTGTTGAGTGTAGCCATTTTCTTGTTGTTGAGTGTAGCCATTTCCTTGTTGTTGAGTGTAGCCATTTCCCTGTTGTTGAGTGTAGCCATTTCCCTGTTGTTGAGTGTAGCCATTCCCCTGTTGTTGAGTGTAGCCATTTCCCTGTTGTTGAGTGTATCCATTTTCTTGTTGTTGAGTGTAGCCATTTCCTTGTTGTTGAATGTAGCCATTTTCTTGTTGCTGAGTGTAGCCATTTCCCTGTTGTTGAGTGTAGCCACTGCTGTTTTGCTGTTGCTGTTGGCTGCCATGCTGCTGATATCCATGACTGTGACCGTTGTGCTGCTGTTGGCCACTGCTGTTCTGCTGTTGCTGTTGCTGTTGCTGTTGCTGTTGCTGTTGCTGTTGCTGTTGCTGTTGCTGTTGCTGATATTGCTCATAGATGCTTTGGAGGAGCGTTTCCACATAGCTGAGGCTTTGGCCTTGGCCTTGACCCTGACCCTGACCGTGGCCCTGACCGTGGCCCTGACCTTGACCCTGACCTTGCCCCTGCGAGCTGTGCGAGCCACCAGAGGTGTGGGAGAAGTAGGAGGAGGTGGCCGAGGAAGGATTGGAACCCGGGGCGGTCGCGAGTCGTGTGAGGAGCTCTACCATCTGGGGCTGGGGGTGGCTGGGCTGCTGGAGGGAGAGAAACCTGGGGAGGTG